TATGTCATATTCAGGCAGGGCGGCCGAAAGTGGATGCCCGTGTGCTTCTGACTTCGGGTTTTCTCTGGAAGCCCTTAAGAACAGGAAACGAAGGATGTTACGTAACGATGATGAACATAGAGCAGCTTCTAAAACAAACAAGTTACGTAGTGATGAGGAACACAGAAGAGCTTCTAAAACAAAGGATGTTACCTAGTGATGACGAACAAGAACAGCTTCTACGTCTTCCTCGCGAAAACACCAAATGGCGGATGACACCCGTGCAGCGGAGGCCGGAAGCCCCGGGGGACCCTGGGATGCGGAACTGGCGGTGGTTTCCGCCGAGGTTTCCGCGGAGGTTTCCGCAGTGGCATCCGGGGCGGGGGTAGTGGCTGTCAGTGGACCAGGCCCGGGCAGAGGCCGCAGAGCTCATGGAGGCAAGGGCGAGGATAGGGGGTGGGCGCCCATCACCAAGCTAGGCCGCCCGGTCAAGGACATGAAGATCAAGTCCCCGGAGGAGATGTATCTCTTCTCCCTGCCCATCAAGGAATCTGAGATCATTGACTTTTTCCTGGGGGCCTCTCTCAAGGACGAGGTTTTGAAGATTATGCCGGTGCAGAAGCAGACCCGCACCGGCCAGCGCACCAGGTTCAAGGCATTTGTTGCCATCAGAGACTACAATAGCCACGTTGGTCTGGGTGTTAACTGTTCCAAGGAGGCGGCCACTGCCATTCGCGGACCATTATCCTGGCCAAGCTCTCCATTGTCCCCGTGCGCAGAGGCTACGGGGGGAACAAGATAGGCAAGCCCCACACCGTCGCTTGCAAGGTGACCGGCCGCTGGGGCTCTGTGCTGGTGTGCTTCATCCCCGCGCCCGGGGGCACTGGTATCCTCTCGGCGGCTGTGCCCAAGAAGCTGCTCATGTTAGCTGGTGTCGATTACTGCTACACCTCAGCCAGGGGCTGCACTGCCACCCTGGGCAACTTCACCAAGGCCACCTTTGATGCCATCTCTAAGATCTACAGCTACCTGACCCTTGACCTTTGGAACGAGACCCTACTCACTAAGTCTCTCTATTAGGAATTCACTGACCACCTGGTCAAGACCCACACCAGAGTCTCCGTGCAGAGGACCCAGGCTCCAGCTGTGGCTACAACATAGAGTTTTATACACAAAAAGTAAAGTGAATTAAGCCTGTGGGGGAACAAAAGAAAAAAGAACAGCTTCTAAAATAAAGATTGATTATAATTGGCTGGGTGAGACTTCTGACAAATCCAGACACCAGGCAACAGGAATTCTCCATGAGTTGAGAAATACAGTCCTAACTGTTTATTCAGTCAAGGAGGGTTACACAGCAACACACTAGAAGAAGATTTAAGGATGCAAAATCCACATGATGAAAGAGGAAGTGTCATCTTGGAGGGTTTGGCACTCAACACTGGATGAAACTGAAGCCCAGGAATTGCCATAAAACATCCCCCCAGGTAGTACTAAGTAATCTTCACTATCTGCCTGACAATGGAATGTAGGAATTGTGTCACATCCAGAGGGTGCAGGTGGAGTTTTCTCAGGATGCTGCAGTGCAGGGTCAGTATGGGATTTAATAATATTTTGAGTGTAAGATAGAAGAATCAAGTTGGGAGGTTTTAGGAATAGTGAAGTTACCTCCCATAAAGTCCCTTTTCCAAGATTGCAGATACCATCATGTACTTAATAAAACTCTACTAATCAGAGATATGTGTTGTACAAATGAAACCTTGGATGGACAACAAGAAGTGTGAAAAAAGTTGAACTCAGGCCAGGCGCAGTGGTCCACGCCTGTAATCCCAGCACTCTGGGAGGCCAAGGCGGGCAGATCACGAGGTCAAGAGATCAAGACCTTCCTAGCCAACATGGTGAAACCCTGTTTCTACTAAAAATACAAAAATTAGCCAGGCGTGGTGGTGAGTGCCTGTAGTCCCGGCTACTTGGGAGGCTGAGGCAGAAGAATTGCTTGAACCTGGGAGGTGGAGGTTGCAGTGAGCTGAGATCACGCCACTGCACTGCAGCCTGGCAACAGAGTGAGACTCCAACTAAAAGAAGAAAAAAAAAGTTGAACTCAATAGAAACCAAAGAAAGGCAAATAAAAATGTTAAGTAATTTTCCACTTGCCAATTTGGCAGAGAGTAGAAAGGAACAATAATGATCAGTATTTGTAAGGGTATCAGGAAATGTCAGCTCACACTGCTGTGATAAAAGTATAAACTGATGTGAGCTGTCATTCATTGCCTTCTCAAAGAGTATAATATATAAATATATATGGCAGTGTTTAAAACTGTAACTTATTATTTTTATTGCCCAGGAACTTCAAATAAAAACAATTTAAACATCTTCATAGCAATAAAATGGTACAATGGGCCAGGTGCAGTGGTTCACACCTGTAATCCCAGCACTTTGGGAGGCCGAAGCAGGCAGATCACCTGAGGTAGGAGTTCAAGATTAGCCTGGCCAACATGGTGAAACCTTGTTTCTACTAAAAATACAAAAATTAGGCAGGAGTGGTAGCAGGTGCCTGTAATCCCAGCTACTCAGAGGCTGAGGCGGAAACTTGAACAAACATCTTTCATTAAAAGATATTCTTAGGTAAGCACTTTAGTATATTACAGGGACATAGTTTTTACTATTTCAACTGTAAAACATTAAGACATGACAATGGTGATTGTAAGTGTTTTGTAGGAGCATTGAAATAATGATTATGCTTTGTTTCATGAGAAAGCAGAGTGAAAAATTCCACATAACCTCTAATTACATAACTTAATAAAAAACATGAGAAGATTCTCTTTATTTTGGTTACACCTATCAATATAATTTTCATACAGTGCAAGTTATGGTATAGGGATTATGGTTGTCAACTGAAGAATGACAAGGTTCATAAATCTGGAAAGGGTTGCAGCCTGCAGGGTGGCCATCTGACAGGCTGGGAACACAGAAACAGACATTTTGAGGGAGGGGCAACAGGAACAGGAATATATGCTGAACGAGGTGCCTCAATATACATGTTTAATAAGCTACAGGAGAAGTCATGAATCTTTATGAATGAGGAAACATATGCATAAGCAATAAAGCTTCCTGCTTCTCCAAGGGATCCATGTTCAGAAAATGGCCATGTTAGCATGATCAGAGGACGGAGTGTTCGGCCTTCTGACTTCAAAAGGTGAACCAGAGGACACAGAAATCCTAACTGCACATTCCTTGTAGAGTCCATGGTCCGTGGTGTCTTATCAGGCAAAAAGGAGGGGCAGTGTCAGGTTGGTCAATAGTAGTGGAGTCATTTGAAAGACTGGTTTCTGTTTCGCTCTTAGGGAAGAAAGCCTAATGCTGGCCAGCAAGGGAGGGGCCCATTGAGGTGTGTCTACCCCATCCCGTCATGGCCAAGAACTCAGTTTTCAAGGTTACTCTGGGGTCTCCTGGGCCAAGAGGGGGTCCATTCAGTGAGTTGAAGGGTTTAGTATTTCATTTTTTATTTCTCGTGGGTTTTTCTAGCAGGCCAATAAAAAACAACAAACATGCATCGAAGAAGTACTGTGGCTGCCTTTTTTTTTTTTTTTTTGAGACAGAGTTTCATTCTTGTTGCCCAGGCTGGAGTGCAATGGCTCGATCTTGGCTCACCACAACCTCCGCCTCTGGGTTCAAGTGATTCTCCTGCCTCAACCTCCCTAGTAGCTGGGATTACAGGCATGCACCACCACGCCTGGCTAATTTTGTATTTTTAGTAGAGACAGGATTTCTCCATGTTGGTCAGGCTGGTCTTGAACTCCCTACCTCAGGTGATCCGCCTGCCTTGGTCTCCCAAAGTGCTGGGATTACAGCCACCGCACCCAGTCCTGTGGCTGCCTAATATCTAATACTAATATTACCTAGGTATTACGAACTGAACTGTGTCTCCCCCAGATTGATATGTTGAAGCCTTAGCCCCCAACTGTGACTATAATTGAAGACAGGACCTATAAGGAGGTAATTAAGGTTAAATGAGGTCAGAAAGGTGGGGCTCTGGATAGATATCGTGTCCTTTCACGAAGAGATACCAGAGAGCCCTCTCTCTTTCCCCTGGACAGGCGCAGAAGGAAGAGGTCACGTGAGCCCACAGCAAGAAGGCTGCTATCTGCTGGCCAAGAGAAGTGTTCTCAGAATGACACCACCTTGTGGCCACCTTGATCTTGGACTTCCAGCTTACGGAACTGTGAGAAATACATTTTTGTTGTGGAAGTCACCCTGTTTATGATATTTTGTTATGGCAGCCTGAGCTATGATATATGGAATGCCTATTTATTATTTTTTAATGTCTATGTCAATCTTATCAGGTAGCTACTGTCATTAGCCCAATGTTGCAAACTGAGGTTTATGGAACTAACTTGTCCAATGTCACGCAGCTGGTCACTGGAAGAACCAGGAATTAAAGTCTTCTGATTCCAAATTTTTTTTTTTTCTTTTTTCGAGACGGAGTCTTGCTGTGTCATCCAGGCTGGAGAGCCATCGTGCGATCTCGGCTCACTGCAACCACTGCCTCCCAGGTTCAAACGATTCTCCTGCCTCAGCCTCCTGAGTAGCTGAGATTACAGGTGAGTGCCACCACGCCCAGCTGATTTTTATATTTTTAGTAGAGATACGATTTCGCCATGTTGGCCAGGCTGGTCTCAAACACCTGACCTCAAGTGATCCACTCACCTTGGCCTCCCAAAGTGCTGGGATAACAAGCCTGAGCCACCTCACCCTGCCTCTGATTTTAAATTCCATACTATTATGATTGCTCAGATTATTTTAATTTTTTCAGTAATGTGTTACTTTCATCATTGAACCTCGTAAATAGTTGTGTAACTTTTGGTTTTCCCATCACCTAAAATAAAACAGTACATTACTAAAACTGCTGTAGCTTTACTTTAACTGTTTATTTTTCAAAACATCAGTAATTATATTTCAGTGAGTTGTCTTGATTTTATATGGCTGGGTATAGAAAGAAGAGTAACTCCACTTTACAGATGGCATGGCCAGGAATAATCATGGTTCCCGTCGTTTTTGGCCGGAGAATTTTAAAAGAATATTGAAAAAAATTAGTGCTTTAGAGGAGATTATGCTAATGATTCTGCTATCGGCAGGTCACCCCAAGAGAAATAAGTCTCAGCCCATCAACTTGCTGATGCTACAACTTCTCTGAGAGAGGTGAGGATGTTCTCAAAGTAGGCAAGAATACTCATTATTGAAAAGGTAAAACATGATTTAAAAGACTGGTGAGAAAAGTTGTTTTCTAGAAGCACAACAAACATCACGAGGAAGCCATGTTGCTTATCTGCAGGCTTTGATATTTCTGTGTTGGATTAGTCTTTGATATTTGGAAATCAGATCATCATTATTGGAGCAGTGGTGTTCTTAATCAGGGAAAAAAAAAACATCTAAAGCGAACTAAATGGTGGAGAGGAAAGTCTGTAAATGTTAAGAGGTGAGTTGGGAATGCATGGAGGAGCTCTGACTTGGAGCCAATTCGAATAGGACTGAGAGAAGTAGTGGATCATACGATAGGCGTTTAATAACAGCTTGCAGACAAGGTTCAACAAGGACCTGTCAAAAGTAACTCTTCCAAATACCGTGATAGAGTTAAGGCAGAAGACATCTTTGCATTGTTTAATTATGAATTACTTCTTAATTATAAATAGCTACAGAGAAAATCAGCCGGGTGCGGTGGCTCACACCTGTAATCCCAGCACTTTGTGAGGCTGAGGTGGGCGGATCACCTGAGGTCAGGAGTTCGAGACTAGCCTGGCCAACATGGTGAAACCCTGTCTCTACTAAAAATACAAAAGTCAGCTGGGCACGGTGTCAGGCACCTGTAATCCCAGCTACTCGGGAGGCTGAGGAAGGAGAGTCACTTGAAGCTGGGAGACGGAGGCTGCAGTGAGCCGAGATCATACCACTGCACTTCAGCCTGGGCAATAATAGAGTGAGACTCTGTCTCAAAAAAAAAAAAAAAGAGAGAAAATCATGGCCAACAGGTGTGTGTCTGCTCCTCAGCCCTATCAAAGCTCAACATGTTGCCATATTAGCTTTAGATTTGAAATGAGGACACTTTAAAATGCCATGTTTGCTCCAGGTTTAAAATGAGAACAAATTACAGAGACACTTACCCCCTCTGTAATACCTTCCTCTCCTGTTACCCTCCCCTCCCTTCTTTCCCAGAGGAGGGTTTAGTGTTTATTATTTCCATGAGATTTTTTTTTTTTTAATGGCATTTCATTACTTAGGTAAATACCTGTAAGTTACAGATAATATTCGCAGAGGGTTGAATGCTGGCCCTCCCACAGGCTATGTCCATATCCTGATCCTCTGCAACCTGTGAGTGTGCCCTTACTTGGAAAGTGTCTTGGCAGATACAGAAAAGATATGATCCTGCACCATCTGGTGGACCCTAAATCCAATAACAAGTGTCCTTAGAAGAGAGAAAAGAGAAGGGCGTGTGAATATGGAGGCAGAGACTGGGGTGATATGGCCACAAGCCAAGGAAGTCCTGGAGCCACCAGAAGCTGGAAAGGGCCAGGCAGGAACCCGTAGGGCCTTTGAAGGAGTGCTGCCTGCTGGTGCCTTGGATTCCAACTTCTGGCCTCCAAAAGTGTGAGGGGATACATTTCTGTTGTCAGCTACCCAGTTCGTGCTAATTTGTTATGGCAGCCCTAGGCAACTGATGCGGTATTGATTTGCATCTTTCAGACTAATGTAATGGTATGTGACTGTATCAGTCTACAACCTCCTTTTTCTCAGGATTTGATATTTATCCATAATGCTACATACAATTTTATTTCATTCCTTTCCTTTGTTCTGTAGTGTTCTACTGTATGACTTTATTTCTAACCAGCTGTGTGACCTTAGGCTTATTTCTGTTTGTCTTAATATCCTAATCTGTAAAATGGGGAAAATAGTCACTAAAAATAGTGGAAGTATTAAAATTCATAAAAACCTATCTACCTCATAGAGTTCTTTTGAAAGTTAAATAAGTTAATATTTTTAACATTCTTACAGTAGAACATTCCTGATAGTAATTGCCCTATGTTAATTAAAAATCTATTTATCTATTTGATTGCTGATGGATTTGTAGGGTGGTTATGCTTTGCCATCATCATAACCAACAGAGCTATGAGCTGTGTGTATCTCCTGGTCCACATGTGCAAGAATTTCTCGATTGTCTATGCCTAGAGGTGGAATTTCTGAGTGTTTTGGGATTTCTGAGTATACCTTTAACTTTATGAGATTTTACCCAGTTGTTCTCCAGAGTGGCTGTAACCATGGTCTTTCCTCTTGAAATAAATGAAGTTTGTCCATGTCTTTGTCAATGCTTATTATTATTAGAGTATGGATTTTTTGCTTCTCTGATGGATGTGAAGTGGTTTAATTTCAGTATTCCATTTAACTATTATTTTTCATATTACTAGTGAAATTAAGCATCTTGTCAAATGTTTCTTGACTCTGTTTCCTATTCTGTGAACGGTGGGTTTGTAACCCCCATCTCTCTTTATATTGGATAGTTTATCTTTTTCTTATTTATCACCCTTTGTGGATTCTAGACACTTGCCTTTCTTTAAGTATTGTATTTCTTGAGATAGAGTCTCCCTTTGTTGCCCAGGCTGGAGTGCAGTCTCAGCTCACTGCAACCTCCACCTTCCTGGTTCAAGTGATTCTCCTGCCTCAGCCTCCCAAGTAGCTGGGATTACAGGCACCTGCCACCAGGCCTGGCCTTGTAGTATGTATGTATGTATGTATGTATTTATTTATTTATTTATTTATTTATTTTTGCAGAGATGGAGTTTCGCCATGTTGGCCAGGCTGGTCTCAAACTCCTGACCTCAGATTAGCCACCTGCCTCAGCCTCCCAAAGTGCTGAGATTACAGGTATGAGCCACCGCGTCTGGCCGACACTTGCCTTTCTTTAAGTATTGCATCTTTTGTATCAGTTTGTGCTTGTCTTTTCACTTTGTTTATGGTTCTTTCGTTTCATGAAAGTTTAAAAAAAATTTATGTTGTCAAATATACCTTTTTTTTTTTATCGTTTGTTCTTTTAAAGAGATCTTGTTTGAAAAATCATTTTCTACCATAAAGTCATAAAATCTTGCTCTTATAATTCTTTTAAATGTTTTAATGGATTTGATTTTCATGCCTGGGGTTTTAGTAGGCTTTGAATTATTTCTGTATATGATGTAAGTGAGGGATATAATATTTTCCATATGGATGACCAGTTTTCTCAGATTTATTGAAAAGACTGGTATGTGTCCAGCCTCTCTGAAACACTGATCTACTTAGTACTGCCTAGTACTGCAACAAACTCACTCTCCTAATTAAGTATGGTTTTGTAATCATCCTTATTATCTAATAGGCAAGATCTTATCCTTCCCTGCCATGTTTTGTCTTTAGAAATGTCTTTGCTCTTCTATATTAAGAATATACATGTTCAGTTATAAGAAAAAACTTATTTACAATTTTAAACATTGGAGTTTCACTGATATTTTTAGTAAAATTCTAATGTATCTATGTGTCTTACCATTGACTAACATGGATCACATCTCTACTATTCACAATCTTTTACTGTATGTCCTTCGAGGATATTTTTAGTTTTCTCTATAAAGGTCTTGTCCACTTTTAAAGAGATTTATTCATTTGAATCTTATGGTTTATGTTATTTCTTTTTCCTCCATTTGTTCTATTATAGTTCATGCTTAGTTATAAAATAACTTAATTATAAGCTTAAAAATAAGCTTAAAATAAGCTTAATTATATCATTTATTTTATTATTTATTGATTTTTTGTTTTTGCTTTTTTGAGACAGGGTCTTCCTTGTTGCCCAGGCTAAAATGCAGTGGTGCAATCATGGCTAACTGCAACTTCGATCTCCCAGGCTCCAGTGATCCTCCCATCTCAGCTTCCTGAGTAGTCAGGACTATAGGCATGTACCACCATACCCAGCTAATTTTTGTATTTTTTGTAAAGATGGGGGTCTCGCTGTGTTACCCAGGTTGGTCTTGAACTCCTGGGCTCCAGTGATCCAGCTGCCTCGCCTCCCAAAGTGCTAGGATTACAGGTTGAGCCACCGCGCTTGGCCTATTTGTTTAAAGTAGTTGCTGAACTCTTTGAACAGTTTTGCTTGCATTTTTAATGGTGACACATTTTCTACAAATTAGGAATTTTATAGAAATGTTATCTCCAGTCTTCTACTTTTTGTACCACTTATTTCTTTTTCTCAATTTAATTGTATTAGTTAGGTTAAGTAGAAATGTTATTAGGTATCCTTCATATGGGGCATTCTTGCCCCTGAATTAAATGGGAATGTGAGTTAATCTCTTTCGTAGTGACGAGTGAATGGGAAGGATCTTCGTATTCTTCCCATCCTTGCACTGTGGTGGTTAGACATGTAAGAAGACATTGGAGAGACAAATAGAAAACATACCGTGAACAGGGCTTCTGGCAAAATTCCTCTCGGCTCCACCCGAGCTGGTGATCTCAGTCTCCTGTATAGGAAAATACATGTCTTTTCATCACTAGTTTTCATTCTTTTTTTTTTTTTTTTTTTTTTACAGTTGTCTTCCATATCATGCATCTGTCACTGCAATGTTCACCATTTTGTCATGATATATACAGATGGTATTTTTTATTTTATAAATTATGTTAGGTTTGTTTTATCCCTCCAAAAAACTGAGCAGGGCCAAAAAAAAAAAATAAAAAAAATGGCAGGCAGTGTTCAGGAACTTGGAGGGAGGGGAATGACTACAGTCTAACCTATGTCTCACAGCTGAAGGGAGCTTGGGATGTAACGAGGCATACTTGCTTCTCTCTCCTGGCTTAGTGGCCAGAGGTAGCAGCGTGTAAGCGGTTAAGCCCATGGCAGTTTAGGGTACCCAAAGCTTCTCCTTTATATTTGAAGCTGAGTTAAAGTCAGATAAACTGCACTCTATTGCCTAGGCCAGAGTGCAGTGTTGTGATCATAGCTCACTGCAGCCTCAGACTCCTGGGCTCAAGGAATCCTTTTGCCTCAGCCTCCTGAGTAGCTGGGATTACAGGTGCGTGACACTACACCTGGCTAATGTTTTATTTTTTGTAGAGACAGGGTCTCACCATGTTGCTTAGGCTGGCCTCAAGTGATCCTCCCATCTGGCCTCCCAAAGTGCTGAGATTACAGGAGTAAG